GGAAGAGCGCAATGATGGTGCCAACTTGGGCCAGTGAAGCAACATCCGCCACAACTAGACTGAAGAACAAAAGGACAGCAACTTGTCTGTTCCCCTTCCCCCAAGTCTCCAGCACTGTTCCCATTCCCCCAGTTCCCCAATAAAAAAAAATTTTTTTTAATCTTTAAAAAAAAAAAAAAAAAAGAATTCAAGTGGATAGTTCAGAATTACTGCTTTGCTGCCAGTTTGTCAATAACGGTGGTTCTCTCCGGGGACTATTGTGCCTCTGACAGGACATTTCTGGTTGTCCCGATGGGGAACTGCTCCTGGCATCGCATGGGCAGAGGCCAAGGATGCTGCTAAACACATGCACAGCCCAGCCCCGAAAAAAGAGAATTGTCTAGACCAAAATGTCCACAGCCCCTGCTGTGAAGAAAGTCAGACATACATTTTAGCATCGTCTCTCTCCCCTTTCTCTCTCTCTCTCTCTGTGTAAAGTAGCAGCTTGGTGTCTGAGTGTCGGGAGGAGGGCAGAAAGGTCAGTCTGGTTATGGTCATACATCTGTAAGGACCACGGAACCCGGCAGCTGCTGCATGGAATTCTGAACATGGACCCAAAACGAGAAGCATGAAAAGGATGACAGAACGTTGGGGAAAGCACGCCAGGGGCGGACGGCAGTCCACGAGGTGCTCACAGCCCACCCCGGGCTGTTACAGAGGGTCATGACTGAATGCAGTGCATCTAGCTGCCTGGGCTCCTCGCATAACAGGAAAAATGTATTAATTAAAAAAAAAAAATTTAAAGGAGAAAACAATATTATGAGTTGGCAACTATGCATTATGATGGGAAAATCAATCCACTAAACAAGGTTTTTAAAAAATCTACTAGAAGAGGAATAAGAGAAATCTAAGTGATACAAAATATAATTGAGCAAAACATTACACAGGGACTGCTGCAAGGTCCTGGAAAAATTTTGAGAAGTCTTTCCCATTCCCTTGAAATTTCCAGAGAAATGTGTCCGCTTGTTTTATTTTTTTTTTCAAGCTACCCAAAAACATGTGAATTCCTGTGAAACTCCAAGTCCTCTGGGGGCGCCTGTTCCGCCCCGGCCCCCTCCCCCCGCACCAAGAGGAAACCACTGTCAGGGTTAGGGAACCTTTCTAGGCCTTCTATGAACATACACATGTGTTACCTACACATAACTATATGTACTTAGAGAAAATTCAGTATTATTCTAGGTGTTTATTCATACAAAACATAGAACAAGCAACTGGTTTAGTCATTGCAGCTTAGTATGCCATAGTTTAGATACATCCCAATTTGCCAGGCAAGTCCTTTTTGCAGTTATAACAAGGGGACCACAGGCCCCCTGGGTGAAGTGTTTCTCTAGTGTAGAGACCAAGGGGAAGAGAATGAGCACCTGAGATTTTTACAATTTAAAAGACAGCGTCCATACTGCCCTTGGAAATGGCTGAAATTTACACCCCAGCCCTGACGTGTGTGGGGATCCTCACACACGTGCCAGCATGTGCAGACTGCCATGGGCTGTTTGCACGTGGGTGTGTGGGGGGGTGGGGGGTGGAAACTTTCGGTCAGAAGTGTAAGACAAATTATGGAAAAGGGACCTAACATTTGGAGAGGGCACACCACGTACCAAGCGTTCTACAAGGTCCTCTATCATTAAATACAAAACACACACAAGAACCAGATGTTCACATCGCAGTTGAACTGACCTCCCTGTATGGGCAGCTGACTGAAATTCTGAGCATCTGTGACGTCATTCCCACTGTATCTAGGAAGAGTGCAGGGAAGCTGAGACAGGGGTCTCCCTACCTGATGCCAAGCAAGTGCTAAAGCACGCCCCCTAGTGGGGAAAATGATAAACATGCAAGATGCTGTCTATCCCTCCAGTAGGATTTAGGAGAAATCTCACACACAGAGGGAAGAATTCCCTTAATTGTGCAGGCTAAAACTATTTGAAGATGCCATGCATGCGTGTGGTCTATAATTCACCCCTTAACTCCCTGTGAAGCAATATTAGGAGAGCATTCATCAATGGGTTGTGCCCAGGTTACTAGGGTCACTGAGGCAAAGGTTGAAAATTTAGAAGAAAAACTTTAAAAACAGAATAACTTAATGCAAATAAGTTAACCCATAAATGTTAAAAAAAAACATATTAAATAAGTGTTTTTAAAATTTAGCCTCTCAAGGTCTCCTGCTGGCTAAATATGGGCTAATTTGAGCATAAAACTATTCCAAATTATTTTAACACATTGACTAAACAAAAATCTAGGAATCTCTGGCAGGAGGGGGTAAGGAAAGATAGAGGTGGAGATGGAAAAGGGGACAGAGAGGAGGGAGAGGGAGAGGAAAAGGAGAGAAGGGGAGAAGAGGAAAAGGAAGGGGGAGAGGAAGAGGAAAACAGGAGACAGGAGGGAGAAGGAGAAAGAAGGGAGAGGAAAGCTCTTGTTGACAGAAGTAGAGGGAATAACAGCAGTAGAAAAATCACCATTTTGCAATTCTCATATAATAAGCTAGGGGAGGAAATTCAATTAGGGCTAAAACAAACATAAGGATAAAGGTTACTCAGGAAGAGGATATACACAGGATGTCACAGTACGACTCCTTGGGTTTCTCATTAATTGCACAGGGAAAACTGTGCCTTACAGTGAGTCACTACCTCAGCCAAGCCACCCAAATCTGCCTCACTAACAGAGAGACATCAAACGCCACAGGCCTCTGGATGGGACGCAACTGTGACGCACGCAGCATCTGATAGAAGTATTCCAGCCAAAAATATCAACCCGATCTGATCAAGCTTCGGACTTAACTTCCAGTGTACAGACGATACACAGATAAGGCCACCGTGAGACAAATCCAGAATGTTAGACAATTTATAAGACAACCGGCCTGGACTCTTCAAAGAGTCAGACTTGTTAAAAAGTAGAAAAAGGAGAAGGAATGAGAAACTGTCCTTTACTAAAGAGAAACTAAAGAGACCTAACCACCAAATGAGCGCATAAATCCTGGCTGGCTCATGATTTAAAAATGAACACACACACACAGAGACCCTATAAAAGTTGTTCTGTGACAGCTGGGAAATTGGAATACTGACTGAATGTTAGATAACTATAAATAATTTTTATTTATTAGGTGTGTGATGTCACCAGTAATGCTGAGGAATGCCTCCCTCTTAGAAGAGGCATAGTTGGGTATTTAGGTCATGATGTCTGCGATATTCTTTCAAATGGTTCAGCAGAAAATTTAAGCCTCTATCTGTAGATCCAACAAATACGGTCAATGCGAACTGTTGATTCTAGTGGAGGGTGTATGAGGTTTCGCTGTATTCTTGTAACTGTTTCACATGTCTGCAATGCTCTTTATCCCAAGTTGTGAGAAGAAAAAGTTGGCCTCAGTCACACTGCTTGCACTCATGTCCTAGTTTGCAGGTCGGTTGACAAGCCGCTCTCTGACAGGGCTGCCCTCCCTCCAGCTGGATGCGAGCACTGACTAGGGGTCTGGACTGACCAGCGCGTTCTCATCCGAGAACAGGGCCGAGTTCCTTGTACACTCAGAGCTCAGGGGCGAAGGCACGGGACCCATACCTGGGAATTACTGGAGGTGAAGGCGCGATGACTCAGGGCAGGTGCTCAGGGAGCGCAGAGCAGAGACAGATGACCCAGTTTGGGGAGCGGGGGGAGGGCAGGGTGACATTAAACCTGAAGCATGACCCAAAGGTGAGGCGGGGGACAGCCACCTGTGCGGAGACCTGTGAGAATGACAATCTCAAGGAATAAAAAAGCTGGATCTGGCTGGAGTACGACAGGGTAGGAACAGAAATGGGGTCGTGAGGGGGCCTAGATCACCTCTGGGCCATGCGAAGGAGACCGGTCGGCCAGTAAGACGCTTCTGACAGGCGGCTGAAAAAGCAAGTGGAAGTCCTCTAGCTGCTGCGAAGGACGTGCCCTGTGGAGGGCGAGCCTGGAGGCGGGTGCCGCTTAGGAAGCTGGTGCGATTTAGGCAAGAAATGTCTGTGGCATGGAGAGGGGTCGGGCGACAGGAATGGAAGCAAGTAGATGGAAACATGAGAGCCAGACATTTAGGAGATGGAATCTGTGTGATCTGTTGACTGACTGAGTATGTGATACGGGGGAGGGCCAGAGTCGAAACGGTGCGCAGGGGGCACACTTCCACGAGACAAGCAGGAGAGGCGGGCGGGGACGAGGAGGCGTGAGCAGTTCAGAGCATTGGAACTCCTGAGTGCAGGTGCCCAGGGGGCTTGAGAGGTGGGCATGGCTCAGGGAAGAGGATGGGATGGGAATAAGGCTCTGGGCGTGGCCATCACATGCATCAACTGTGAGTGAGAGTGAAAGCGGTGACCCAGGGGAGCCCCACAGGGTGAGAAGAGCCCCGAGTGCCACCTGTCACGCCAGGCCTCCTGGGGGAACCTATGATGGGACGCCTCTGCATCACTTACCCCCAAACCCAGCACCCAGTTGGCACACAACAGACATCCAGGAAACACTGTTGAAACACTTAAAAATGTATTTTGAACAAAAGAGAGACCCCTAACCTTGTGGAGATACACAGTGAAATAGCTACAGAGGAATGGCTTCTGGTATTTGCTTCCAGGGAGGAGGGGTTGGGGTGGAGAGGAAACAGTGAAGACGGCCCCCGTTACGATAACCACTGAGGCTCATGTGGAAACATCACCTGGTTCATTAGTCACATAAGGGGCCAGGAGAACTACCAGCAGAAAAAGGTGGACAGCTACCCTAGGGTAAGACCGGTTGTTTCGTTCTAAGAATTTTCTAAAAGCCTCAGAATTTAAAATTGAAAAAGGTAGTTTGCTAACATTACCCACAACCTCAGTTTTAAGGAGTGTAAAACTGACAACCGGATATTAAACTTTTTTTACCAAGTCATGACACTATTATGACTAAACCTTGTATCGCATATTTACTTAAGACACAATTCCTGAATCTTCAACCTGGACACCGGACAAATTCAGAACACTTAAAACCAAATACCGTTCTACCTCCTCTAAAAATGTTTAAGTTAACAAAAACGTTTCTAGAAACTCATATCAAATCCTGAAAGTCTTAGGATCAGCCCTACGTAACGGGCAGTGAAAGCGCACGGTGAAGGCACAGGTGCTGGTCGGCAGGGCTGGCGACAGGCGACGGTTCCCTTCACGCTCGTGACACACTCCATGGCGCAGTGTGAAATCCTTACCAAGCGATTAGTGGGGGGTACAAAGAGTCCACCGATCATTCACCAATTTCCAAATTGTGATTAGAAATTGTGCGTATGATTTTTGTCACAGCTTCAAGTTACATGAAATCACTGCGAGTGCCGCTGCCTCCCACGGGGAGCACATCAGGCCCCTCCTCCTCCTACTATGTCTCAACAGATATTGACAGGTTAATGCCATCTGCGGTCTCCACAAACAGAACTCCTGTTCTATATGACCCTCTCTCACCTTCCGGTACATTAACAATAATTAACATGAATTTTTTTCTGATCTTTTTGGTACTTGAGGTTTTTATACACCTAGTATTTCTATTAATGCACTGACCAGGCCATAATATTGAGTTAGGTCAAGCCCGATGTTTTAGGTCAGGCACAAAAAGGTGTAGCTTGATGGTTATGGATAAGGCTCCTTGCCAAGTTGCCTGGCTTGAATTCCTGCTCTGTTTGAACGACCATGTGCTTCCGCTTCCTCGTGTACAAGAGGACAATGACGCCGCCGATGGGAAATGGCCGCGTCCTCACATGGACTATTAGAGCGCCGCCTGTCACGGAGCTGCACTACACGGCATGTGTGTTCGCTGCTACAGACAAAACGAATACAGTGAACACCGTGACAGGCAGGCATGCAATAAATTCATCCCATTAAATGGAGCAACCAGAAAAGGGAGGCTTACACGAAGGCCTTTTTGTCTCTAGCCTGCCTACACAGGCTCCATTTGTTTGTCTCAGAAGAACCCCGGGCCGGCACCTGTCAGGCTCACAGTGGCCCACCTAACAAGCACCTGTGGTCTTAGGGCCGGCGCTGTGGACTGCAGTTCCCATGGTGGCATCACTGGGAGAGTACAGCTGGCTGCCAGTCTCAGGAAGCCAGAGGGTGCTAGGGTAGATCCCCCAACAGTGTCCGTTCAACGCCCTCCAGTTTAAGCAGCGGGTATGGGCAGGGCACAAGCCAACCCTCCTTACCTGGAAGGAGCCCATGGCAGTGCTTTGGGGGATTTGATTGGCAAAAGCAATGACCAATCAGAACAGAGTTCAGCAGCAGCACTGGAATAGGGTCCCAGCTGTGGTGGTGATGGAGGGGGCGACCCTGGGGATGGTGACTATGTCACCTGTGGTATGGCCGCACCAGGGCATGTTAGCCATGGGACACTGCCACCTCGGAATAAACTGATGGCCTGTGTTCACAGTACTGGAGTGCTCAAGCGTGTGCTTACAATAAGCCCAGGTGTCATTAAAGGTACAGACGAGAACGAGCTACTCACCTTGGGCTGCGTATCTGCACGAGCCATCCTCCACCAGAACATTGTAGAAAGGCTGATGATGGCCGTGAGGCAGGCTGTGGACGTTCATGTTTCGAATCCACTCGTGTCCCATCATGCAGGTGGGGTCCCAGCCATAGATGACACAGTTATAGCCATACCTGATGAACATACGAGCAAGGGCAAATCAATCCCCTGGGACCCTGTGACAGCAGCTGTGAAGTGCAGAAATAGTGGCTGGGCTTCTCTGAGGCTCCCGCTCTTACAAATTTACCTGCTTTCACTCCAGGTTGCATCATTTTCCAGGGTACCCCTGCCCCTCTCTATCAGACAAGATTGGGTGTGTTCAAGGTGCCATGGCCGTAGGCCCCCTGCCCCTCTTTATAAACCCCTCTCACTATCACAATATAGCACTTCAGTTAGAAAACAATTTACTTTTCGACAAACAGCGATGAGACAACAAGCGGTTATCAATATGGAAAAAGGTATCAGGACCCAGGCCAGACAACAATACACAAAATCGGTTGTTAGAAGAACGGAGACCTAGGTAAAAGGCAGAACTTTTAAACCACCTTTGTAAATCGGGACAGCGAATGATTTCTTAAACAAGGTACTAAAAACACAATCCATAAAGGAAGAGACTGATCAATCTGACAGCACTAAAGACCCTGATTCAAACAGACTGTGTGTGTGCGCATGCACGCACACATGTATGTATGTATGTATGTATGTATGTATGTATGTATGTGTGTGTAAAAATAGACAGACAGACAACTGGGGAAACATGAACTGAGTAGATATTTGATGAGGTTACGGAGTTGTTGGTATTTTTTCTTAGCTAAAATACATTCACAAGATGGTAAATGTATTTTTTTTTGTTTCTTACGATTTTTTTGTAAATGTATTTTTAACAAAAAAAGAGAGCCCTTCCCTTGTAGAGATACACAGTGAAATAGCTACAGAGAAATGGCCTCTGGTATTTGCTTCCAGGGAGGAGGGGGCGGGGTGGAGAGGAAACAGTGAAGATGGACCCTATTACGATAACCACTGAGGCTCATGTGGAAACATCACCTGGTTCATTACAGTCATTTTTCTACTCTTATATATGTTTGAAATGTCCATAATAAATAAAAACAGAATGAAAACACCAGCCAGAACCTGGAAAACGATATCTGCAACCTCTGTGCACACAGAGACCAGTAGACAGAAAAAGACTAAAAATCAGTCAAGACTAAGAACTCAATTGAAAAATAAACAAAACACTTGAAGAGGCACTTAATAAAAGAAATGTGAATGGCCAGGAAACCTAAGAAAAAGAACCTCAATTTGCATAGTAACCAGGGAAACACAAATCAAACCCACAATGAAATACCATTTGCCATTTACCACAGAAGTGCATTTTTAAAGGTCTGGCAATCAGTTCCCACCCTGCTGGTGGGATGTAAATCAGTGCAATCACTCAGGATCGCTTAATCCTATCTAGTAAATCGACTAGGAGCACACCCTACCACTCGGCAAATCCCTACCCACAACTCAGATTCAAGATGGAGACTAAAAGAAAGCTGCTTTCATCTTCCCACAAACAAAACCGTCAGACACTGAAAGGTCACAAAACCATCAGAAGACCTCCCAGACAAGAAAGCCAGTTCCTTCTCAAAAAACAAAAAGGTTGAAGACACGTTCAGCTTCCGGTCCTTCCTGGGGTGAGCGCTCAGCTGCTGCTTGGTGTTGGGGCCCCTTCAGGCGTGTCCCTGCAGCTCCTGAGAAGCTCTGCTCACAGGCACACGGGCGGGCGGGCGTCCTCGGCAGCCCCGCCCGCGTGGGGCACTCACCGCTTATGCTTCATAATGAGCCCGATGGAGTAGCAGACGTCTCTGTGCTTCTCGTGGGAGCGCAGCTTCACCTCTACGCCCACGTCCTCCTTCTTGCGCTCAATGTGCTCTAAGGTATGCTGCACCAGGTAGCCCACCGCCCCGTGCTGCCCGGGGTCTAGGGTTTGGATGTGCTGGAGTATGTCAAGCACCTTCAGGACAAGACAGAAAGACTAGGTGATAATATTTTTATTTAGGCCTTTTCTTTTCCACTGCACTACACCTACCTACCCTGACAAAGGACGGCAAGGCGGGGCTGAAGGGGCCCTCCCCACTCAGTGTGCTGTCAGAAGCCCGGGCTTGGCGCACTCTCTTCTGGACCTGGGAACTGGCCCCAGACATCCAGTTGCAACCAGCGTGAAGGTAAGGGATGGTTTAGGAGACACAGTGGACTGGAATCAGCGTGGGCTAAGGAGGCAAGGGTCTTGCCTTCTTGACCAGTGTGGGGTTCAATGTTTTAGACACAGAAAGGAAGCAATTTTAAACTGCCCTTCATGAGTGGGGAGGAAAAGTAAATGCTAAGCTGCTTCAATCAAGACCAAGAGGACGTTTGACGAGCTGCCTCGGTGCTGGGGAAAGTGGAGAGGTCAGAGAGAAGCCACTTAGGGGAGGGGACGCAAATGAGTTCAGTTTCTGATGTTAAACATGGTACTAGGGCTCTGAAATCCTACTGGTCATTTCCATTATTCTTACTCACGATGAAATTTTGTATTAAAATGAGCAGGGAGAACCCACATCTCAGTGGGATTTAAATAACCAGCTGGTGGAAGCAGAATTCAAAGTTATATTCTTCCTACTGTACCCGGTGTCTCCACGGGAAATACAGATTCTAGTAACGTGAATATGCGCATGGACACGTACGTACACACACACACAATGACATGACAGCCTGAGCAGAGGGCCTCTGACACGTCTGTCCTTTGGAAACGCGCGCTTTCCCTATTCACTGGGTCTTAAGACAAGGCAACCTGGACTCTAGTGCCAGATCTGTCAAACTTGCTGTTTTTCCCTTTGAATTCATTTATTTGCTTATCAAGTGATGAGTAATAACAGCCCTATCTATTTCCTGACATATTTTGAACCTGTCGAAGCGTTGTGAAAACTACCGTTTTACACAATGTAAGTAAGCTCTTATTCTAAGACCCAATCTGGCATTCCAGGTTGAGATTCACAGGATCTCCATCTTTACTGAACACTTATTCTTCGCTGGTCGCTGTGCCAAGTCCATCACTTTCTCATTTCATTTAATCCTCCCAACCTGAAGGTCAGCAACACATTATGTTTCATAATGAGCCCAACGGAGTAGCACGCATCAGGCTTAGTGAAGGGAAGTAACTTGCCTGAGATCATGGGGTCATGAAGACGTGGTGTGAGGATGGGACGCTGGGCTAACTCCAAACCCTAGGTGTCACCACCATCACACCACAGCAAGAGTAGGGGTACTTTAATTAACTGTTATGAAAAGTTTCAAACACATAAAAATAGACAGAAGGCATTTGACTCAAAGTACCTCAAACCCAGCTTCAACCACTATCTGCTGAGAGACGATCCCCACCCAGCTCCCCCCCTCCCACAGAGGACTTTTAACTTGGGCAACTCGAACAACGTTTATCTTTTGTAGCTAAAAGCACTGGATTTAACAGTAAGCTTCTATTTACTGGGTTTGCGTAATGCATTCCTTGTGTTCCCCTATCAGTTCCAACCAGTTAGGACTAGCGAGGCTTCTGCTCCATTCCACAGGCTCAGCCTCCCCCCCACTTCCCCTCCCCCAACCCCGCTTTCCCAGCAGCCCCTCCCAACGGGGCAGGGGAACAGGCTTAACTTGGAATCTTCAAAGAAGTCCCAGTGCCAGAGGAGGAGATGAGGCACAGGGGTAATCCCCCCTCCTTCCCTTGATGTGTGGATGACAGGGTAAAGGGAGGGGCGGGAACGGATGCTATGGTGATACGGACCTCGGACCTCGTATGTTCCTGAAGAGCAGTGCTGAGGGCTGGGTACCATGATGTGTCCAAACCAATGTCTAGGCCTAGAATCCTGAGTCCACAATTTCTGGGGTAGAGATCTTGGAACAGGGAGCCTATCACTCATGACTGGCAAACCTTTTCTGTAAACGGCCAGAGGGTAAATATTTTAGGCTTTGTGGGCCATATGGTCTCTGACTCAACTACTTCCCTTGGCAGCTGTAGCTGGAAAGCAGCCGGAGACAACACGTAAGCAAATAAAATCTCTAAGACCAGGCCGCCTGGGGCCCATGGGCTGTGCTCTGCTGGCCCTGCTCTGTCCCCTTAGCAGCAGTTCCCCTGAGGCTGTCTCTGAAGGGCTGGGCTCCATCCTCTGAATGCCCACCTGTCTGTGGGCTCTTCTCCTTTTGAGCTGATGCTGTACCCCCTGCCAAATGTTCTAGGATGCTGGCACCCGGCTCCAGGTCCCATCAAATTCAACATACCCCACACTGAACACTTTCCCCTACCCCAAAACAGGTCTGTTCTCCAAATACCCACTTTTCATGTGGCCAGACAGCTGTTGGGGAATCTGGATATCCTCGTTGAGCCTTTCCCCTTATTTGAACCCCTATTGTGTGGCAGGAACTATGCTGAGAGGAAGGGGAACAGTTCCAATAAAGAACAAAACAGCTATGGTCCTCGTCCTTAAAAGGCATGGGCGAGTGGACTAGGAAGGGCAAACAAACAGCTACGACAGTCAGGAGGAGCTCTGTGAAAGGGCAGCGCAGGGCCAGCACGACAGGAGGACCTGGCCTTACGGGACGGCCAGGGAGGGGGCGTCAGAGGCAGAAGTGAGCCGGGATGGAGCTGAGGGCCAGGAAAGGGGCTCCAGGCAGAGCTGCAGTGAGTGCAAAGGACTGACACAAAGGACAGTGACCGAGGGAGGACAACGTGGTCGTGGCAGCAGGGAGTACAAAACGGGCAACCGTGAGATGAGAAAGCCCAGGCAAGGAGGGCCAGGCCATTAAGAACCTAGGAAGCCACACTGAAGACAATGAGCCTGACCTTCAAGACAGTGGGGGAGCCAGTCAGAGGCCTGTGAGCAGTGAGGGGACATAACCGAGATTTGATTAAGGTTACGCTGACAACAGTGTACAAAACGGGTTTGAAGGGTCTCAGAGCAGTGGAAGGAGAGCACACAGAAGGCCTGTGCAATCGTCCAGGGGACTGAGGCCCGTGCAGATGTGTAGGGGGCACCTGGACACGCTGCTCTGAGCCCAGGGTCCCGGCAGGCCACCGAGGTCATGGGAGAACAGGTGAGACCAGCTGGGGGAAAGGTGCAGAGTGGAAAGCAGCCTAGAAACTACCCTACGGTGGGGGCCCTTGAAGGGTGGACAAGGAACTAGCGAGAGCCTGGGAACAGAGTGTACTCAGCAGCGAGTGGCCCCCAGCCATGGAGAAAGAAAAGACATGTTATCTGCCGAATTTGGCAACAAAGAGAATGGCTTATCAAAAAGGGGTCACTGGCTTCCTTGGCAAGAGAAGTTCACGAGAGGCAGGGGTGCGAACGGGTCTCCGTGTTCGGAGGAGGAGCGTGTGGGAGGCGAGGCAGGTGGCCATCCCAGTGGCACGTAGGGTCAGCAAGCAAGGATGTGAGCCCCGCGGGGGAGCAGAGATAAGAGATAAGGAGGGAACTGCACGGAACCCAGCAGGGCTGCCCCGGGGGTGCTTTTTGGTTTCTCCCCCCAAGATGAGAGATATTTTGAGTCTGTTTAATGCTGACAGTGGAAACAGGGAGATGAAGACATAAGAGAAGAAAGGAAAACAGCAATCCAAGGGAAGGCAGGCGAGTGGACCGAGCACAGGCGGGTCTGCCTTGGAGAACGGGAGGGCCATCTTTCCCACTGAAATGCGGAGGAAGCCAAAAGGGGTAACTACAGGTCACAATGGGGACGCAGGTCTGGCGGCAGCAGGAGAAGGTGCCTGACTGCCAGCTTCTTACAGACCACCTCGCCTTAGCCCACTGTCCCGGGGGTGGGGGTGCAGCATGTGGGTGGGCTCAGGCGCCATCCATGCGTGTGCGGGAGACCTTGGCAAGTTACCCGACTTCTCAGTGCCTCAGTTTTGTCAAAAGGCAGAAAAGCAGCGTGCACCCCTTAGGGTTGGAAGGAGGCGTTCGGTAAGTGTGACTTTAAACGTTGACCATCCCACACGCTCTGCAGCCACAATACCCTCGGATTACTGCGACAGTGACCAGGTGGACTTGTTTTCCTTAGTGCGTCCTGATTTAACGCCACTGAAAGCAAGCTGACCTTCTGGCCTCCCCAGCTCGGGTATGCTTCCCGCGGACCTAACGAGGCCAAGCAGATTCCGAGGCCTCCACAGACCGGTCTCACGCGCTAGAAACTATGTTCTCCATGCACACACATCGTGTGTGCACGTGCGCGAGTAGAGGCCGTTAAGCAGACCGCCTCTGCACACACCGAGTCCCCGCCTCCGTGCCGTGCGCACGCTGCTCCCGCCCGCTGCAGTAACCTGCTTCTCTGCCTTCTGAAGGTTTCCCATGCTTCCACGTCCACCTCAACCCCTTCTTCCCGAGAGGAGCCTTTTCTGGTTACCCCAGCTCCCCCCGGAACTCTCCGCATGGGGAGCCCCGCAGGTTTCCTTCACTGTCTCGGGTGTGTCAGTTCCCCAGCGTTTACTGAGGGGAGTCAGCTACGCACTGGGAATAAGCCACTTTCCACTTTCCATCCCTGATCTCCGAATGGGGGGCACGTCTCTGCCAGCAGCAAATGAATGGCTGTCATGAGCACACATGTACTGCATGTCAGAAATCTGGATCTTGTTTTAGTGACATCTGCTTGGCAGGAAGGCAGCCTTGGTCTGCGGACACCCAGGTGATTCCCCAGCAAGCAGCACACGAGCACGCAACAGTGTCAGTGGTGGCGGGTCAGGACCCAGAGCTTCTGCAGACTTTTCCCTATGAAGGAGATGCTAACCTCACCTTCTCGAAGGCTGACGTGCCACTGAAGCACAGAGTTTACTTATAAACAACCTTGGTTTGAAAGGATCTCTGCATTTTATAACATTCCTTAATGAATCTAAATTAAAAAGTGACAGAAATTAATTATGTATATCCTAGTATCAAAAATACTAAATAAAATGAAAAAATAAAATTAGGCTATTAAACCCAGGGCAACAGGGTTCTGGGAAGAAGGTGGTAAGTTGGTAAGTTTGGTGGAGTCTAGATTTCCCTTAACTGTGCAACCAGGTCACACGCCTTGGCTACCTGGGCCACAGATGCCATCTTTTCTTCTGGTAGGAGTTGAGAGATTTTCCTACCTGCTGTGTCCTTTCTTAGAATTATTTTAGATCTTCGAAGTTGTGAGTAAATGAGTTCATTTAGATCTAAGCAATGTCAAGCCATTTAGACGATTTACTTTCTCAAGAAAGATTTCATCCCTCTCTTAATAGCACAAGCAGATGATTTTACGGAGCCGTCCCTGTGAGAGCTCAGAATTCAGTTCTCTCACCAAGATGCTCTGAACAAACAAAATGGATTACTAACATATTCCCATGGAAAAGCAAGGGCGTGATGGGAGCGTCCAGCTGCTCCTGCACTGTCACACATGGCTGGGTGTACACGTGTGCCACGCCCACAGCTCCCTGAGGAGCACTTCTAACCCCCAACGCCGTGACCTTCTGAACGTGCCTGCTGCTGGCCGCAGGGGCCATTATAAAACTGAGAAATCCAAGTGGAACAGTATCAGACCTGACAGTTTCTCCGAGACAAACAGTCCTTAACTAGCCCAGCAGCTGGACCTGAACACATCTAGAATTGAATGTTCCTGTGTCAAACAGGGCTGGTTATATCTGGTCAATTTAGTTGCGAACAGCACAGTTGAAGAATAAGCATTTCAAGTTTTGTTTTCCCTTGCTGAGTCAGAGTGATCTGGGGAAAACACATCTTTGAGGCACCAGTGGGTGACTGGCAGGGCAGAACCTGTGGTTTTGGGTACTTAAGGCACTGACCACGAAGAGAATGGGCAACTCCTGGCACTATAACCAGTTTTTTATTAGACTAAAAGGAGACAAAAAATAAAAAATTTGATTTATGGGCCAAGATTGGGAAACTGAATAGATGTGTGTTTACCCCCATGTTAACGTAAGGATAAACCTGGGAGAGCCGCCTTTCAAGTGAAGATTTCCCTCTCTAAGGCAAGTGCAAAGCCATCAAAGTAAAATAATTACCTTCTCTGGCCAGATTCCCAGGTGGAAGTAGAGCCTGGCTTGAAGCAGCAGGAGCTGCACCTGGTCCGGGTACATTGCCAGATATAGGTCCAACGAGTCTCGCAGGAGCTGGTACGACTGGTCAATGCCTTCCCTACAGGGGAGAGAGAGACCTTCGTCTTACCCTGTGTGCTTCTGAGCAAGACCCACTTTTTCAAGGCCCGGGTTTCAGAAATAGTTGACATAAATCCCATACGTTTTCTGATTCTGGTACTTCCTCTCTGTTCAGCAAACATTGCGTTGTCAGAAAAGTCATGATGCATTTTTGCAACGAAAAACATAGAAAAAAGACATCATGACTTTTCCTTAGTTATAATGGTCTTAAAAACACACAAACACACACCCACACACACACACCAATTTTTGTGCCCCACTTTGGTGATGGGCACGAAACTGAAATCATAAGCATTTTCATTATATAGTTACCTCCATAACACTGTACATAATTAAAAATGAATTCTGAATAAAGTTCAGAGGACTTTTAAGGCAGTGAAACCATGCCGTGTGATACTGTAACGGTAGGTGCAGGTCATCAAATATTTATTAAAAGCGTAGAAGGGCTGGCCGAGTGGCTCAGTTGGTTAAGATCGCATAGCTTAAGAGTGTGCGCTCTGAGCAACAGGGTCCCTGGTTCGATTCACGGCCTGAGCTGAGCTGCCACTGAGCTGCCAACAGGTGGCAGGATGGCTCAGCTTAAAAAAAAAAAAAAAAAAGCCGTAGAATGTACACCACCAAGAGTGAACCTGAATGTATGAATGTAACTATGGACTTTGGGTGATTATGTATCAATGCAGATTCAGTGACTGTAACAAATATATCATTTTGGCATAGGGTGTTGATTGCAGGGGAGGCTGTGTGTGCTTGGAGGCAGGGGATAGATGGGAAATCTCTGTACTTTCTGCTCAGTTTTGCTGTGAACCTAAAATTGCTCTAAAAAATAAAGCCTATATATATATTAAAAAAAAAGAATTCTGCCATTAGGCAGAAAACTATTACTACAATGTACAACTTCCTATTTTCCCTGTAAGACAAATTTCCTTTGACTCAGAAGCCACATAGTTTCGTACTTTCATTAGTTTTCTTATCTAAGTGATAAAAAGGTATAAATGAAAAGATGACAAAGCACTTGGACATGAGAACATCCTGCCCCCCTAAAGAGACTCTCTGCCAGCCTAAAACATTCCCGTTCCTGAAGAATGCTTTCAGTATTTATAAAGGACTTGGACAGTCCACGTCCACTGCAGAGCTCTCAAAGAAAACTCACTTGGCACATCTTAAATCTGGATGGCCTGATAACACAGGAACCAGGTTTTTTCTGGGGTAGGTGACAGCTGTCGAGAACCCCACTGTGCTGCACAGCATACACCGCATTGCCGTGTCACAGGGAGGCTCGTTAAATAGCATTCTCTGTAAGGCAACGCAACCCAAGCCATCAAGGACACGCGTCAGCACAGGCATCAGAAGAGCAAGAAAACCTTACCGCTTGCCCAGGCTTAAAAGGTTTCCCACCATGCGCTGCAGCACCTTCTTGACGTTCACCACCCCATATAGTGCGGCAGTCACGTGCTGGCCGATCAAGTATTCACACTCTTTCACCGTCAGCTGCCTGCCTTTCCCAAAAGCGTCGATGTAGATGTAGTCGAAGATGTCCAGGGTGGCCCTGTCCAAGGAACACACAGAGTCAGCCAGGTCTGATCAGAGCTGAGCAAGCCGGTATGTAAAGCCCCAACGAGCAGCTCAAGTTAGAGACTGAATGGTCACACAGTCACGTTTCTACTGAAAATATCAAGGCCTTGCCCAAATTTAATAATCTGACCCTTTATGCGGGCTCTGCAGTGTTAAGACCGCAGTACAGTGATGTTTATGATTACAAGTACTGACATATGCCATCTAATGTTGTTTTTCAGGGAGACTGATCCTAAAACTCACGGCCAGGAGTATCAGAAGTTCAGCTGATCCCACAGATTAGCAGTAGTTAATGTCTGTGGGTCCTGGGCCCCATGATGCTAGGAGCGAAGTTATGGCCCGTTGCACAGGACTTCTGCCCTCAGTTCTGCAGACACGCTCAGGTGGTCACATACCTGCTGAGCCCACCCATGGCCTTAGGCTGGGCACCTGCTGCAGACTGCAGGGAGCTGTGTCCCTGGACTCAATCACACCGCTCCTGCCATGCTCTTGTACATGGTGGGTGTGATGAGCAGCGCGGTGAGAGGAAATCACACCAAGCCAGTTCTCACTGCATTACCAAGTACACACTATGAGCACTGCTGAGGCATTCAGGTGGGTCTCTGGTCCAGAAAGAGCTGTATTTTTTTTCCTTGAGCAACTGTTTCACTTTGATCTTATGCCCATTGTAAATCACATAAGAGATTTTCTGCTGAGCTGCTTAAAAAGCCCAGTCAGATTTCGTGGTTGAGTCATATTAATAGCCTTCCTTTAGCGAGACATACGAGTATATAAATGTTCCAGAAACAAGGGATGCTCTTCAACTCTTTTTATGAGTCTAGGAGAACCACACATATACACGCACAAATGTATAGGCAAAAATCCTAAATAAAATATGAGCAAATCAAATACAGCAATGTATTGAAAAGAATCCATATGATCAATTTAGATGCACCCCAAGAATGAAAGGAGAGTTGAACATTAAAAAATCTATTTCAGCACAAAAAGACAAGCCATTTATGATCCTATTAGTAGGCACACAAAAGAAATTTTAGAAAAAATATCTACTGATTTTATTTTTTTTTTGTAAAAAGTTATTAAAAAAAACGTTTAGCAAACTAGGAATTTAGAAGGCAGCTTTAACAATCCCAGTGAAAGTTACTGTCCCCAAACTTCATGCCTGAGGTGAAGTTTTAAAAGGATTCCTGTTACAGTCATATTCAAAGCGAGAGTGCTTGCTATCACTGTTTCTATTTAACTTTGTACAAGAGGTCCTAGCCAGCAGCATAAGATAAGTAAAAGAAACAAACTTATTAAGGCGAGAAGGAAGACACAAAACTGTCACAATTCATGTCTACAGAGAAAAGCCGAAAGAGTTGACCAATTATTAGCACTAATCATTTATTCAGCAAAGGTGCTGATTACCAGACCTATATCGAAATATCAACCACATCCTTGTACAATGTCAATACTTAGAAAACATAATTTTAAAAAATTACCATTTACAATAGCAACAAAAATTTAAGGTACGTAGGAATAAACCTAACAAGATGTCAAAGGGCTTGATGAAGACAATGATATAATCTTTTTAATGACATTAAAGACTTAATTGTATGGGAGATATGTTTCGGAAGACTCAGAGAGAAAGACTGGCGATATTCCTCATATTAATTGATGCATCCAATCCCAGTAGGCTCTGGTGCTGATCAATATGCACCCTGGGTTTTGAAGGAACCCGATGAACTAATTCTAAATCTAGATTAGAGCAAAAGGCTAAGAACAGCCAAAGCAATTTGAAGAACTTGATGGGGGGGGGTCTCACCTACCAGGTGTTGGGACCAATGATAAAGGTACAGTGAATAAACAATGTGGTCTGGGTGCAGGCCCAGGAAGCCAGGAGGACAGAGAGAAAGGGCCTGCTGCCCAGCGGCTGGTAGCTGGCTGTGCACCCTCCAGCTCGTCCCTGCCTTTCCCTGAGGGCCCAGCCCTTGAGGGGTCTCAACGTTTGTTTTTGCCTGGGGCCTGGGGTGCTAACAAATTATTTCATTGCTCATTTGCTCAGTAGGGTATGTTCATTGTAGCCTAGGAAAGAAAAATGATATTACTACCACAGACAACTGTACCCAGTAATAAATGACTGTGGTAAATAATACGGTAATTGGTATTTTAAATGCTTTACATTATGCAGAAATCCTTGGTGGATTATTACATAGGCATTTAAGAATATTTTAGAGATATTTGGGGAATTTGGTTGGGTTATTCAGAGAGAGGGAATGGGCCGAAAAAATAATTTCCCCCATTGAAAATCATGGAAAGTGGGTGCCTGCTATCTAAAAAAGAAACCAACGAATACATTTTTAGGAACAGATTACATTTCGAGAGAAGGGAAGCCTGTACATACTATTTAAGGAAAAATACATATGTAAGAAACCATAAAAATTTGCATGGAAATAACAAATACTTTCAAACTAAACTGGCGGTTGCCTCTGGAGAGGAGGGAGAAAGAGATAAGGAAGAATACCCAGGAAGCTCCGACTATACATCATTTTACCTCTTAAACTAGGGAGGTAGAAATACAGAGACAGACCAGTTATACTTCTTTTCTTTGTACGCGTCAGCAACTCTACTAGAAGCATAAAGCACTGGGTCATCTCATTTAATCCTCCAAACCACTTTATGGAAAACTTTAGCCCCATTTTAGAGGAAGAAACTGAGGCTCAAAGGAAGCCACGGTTTGAACCCCGTCTGACTTCAAAGCTCAGGTCCTTTCTATTATATGCTCACCACTACACCAAAAGGTATCAGAGCTAGTCATTAGGAAGTAGTTTCAAAGAACAGGATATAATTAAGAAACCTAAATAATGGCACATTTAATGAGAAGACATATCTATTTGATGAACTACCTCTTTTGGAACAGCTAGGCTATAGCTGAAAAGGAGCTTTATGCCTGGTTTTAAAAAAGAGAACAAAACAGAACTTATTCACCTGGTCTACAAAATGCGTATCCATCGCCAACCTGGCCTAAAAGGAGTGCCACTGATGAGAACGTGAATATTTGCTTTGCACATCAATGAAAAACTTGGCTGTCTAGTTCTCTCTCCCCCTCTCCCCTGCCTGTCTCTTGTGTGGGGAGAGAGGGGGAGATTTTATGGAAGACTGGAAAGTAAGAGTTTAAGAACTCTTTGTTCTGATCTGCTTTGGAACAAAGAGACTTTGAGGCCCACACAAGCCCTTGAACTCCTAGTCCGAGGCTTTAAAACGAAACTTCTTACTTTGTGATAACTGTAGACTCACAGGCAGTTGTGAGAAATACAGCGAGATCCAGAGTACCCTTCTCCCACAACCAGATGATGGACATGGAGACAGGACACGAAACAGCCCCATCACCACCGCAGTTCTCTTCTTAACCTGTAGTTCCCTCCCTCAGCCCAGTGGGAATGAATCTTTAGGACCACGGGCCATAGATGGCTCACCCTTCTGCGCCTTGGCACCACCTTAGTAGGAAGTGACTTGGGAAGTTGACAGGTTCCAGTGGGACCCCCAACTTCCGGGCAATTGTCATGTAGAGAAGAGACATGCTGATTGGGATTCCTGTCCTGCGGATCAAAACCTAAAGGAGAACAAAATGCTTTAGTTACTAGAAATAAAACACCCATTCTCATCCCTTCAATGCAAATTTTTATCAGGCACCTACTGTATATCAGGCAGGAAGCCAGGTTTTGTGGCTTCAGTGGATGAGTATTTTATTTAGTTAGACCTGGGGTCTACAAACCACAGTCCGTGGGCCAAATCTGGCCCACCACCTGTTTTTGTGCGGCCTGTGTAAGAAGAGTTTTAATGTTTAAAAAAAGTCAGAATACTATTTCGTAACACATGAAAGTTACATGAAATCTAAATTTCCATGTGTATACATCGTTTTATTGGAACACAGCCACGGTCATTTGTTTTTATCCTGTCTGTGCTTATCCCTTCCGGCTGCAATGGCAGAGCTGAGCAGTTAGGACAGAGAGCACATGGCCCTAATCGTTGACTGTCTGGCTCTTTACAGAGAAAGTTTGCAGATATGTGATTTAGGCATTCCTTCCAGAAACAATTTAAGGCCATTTCAAGGAATGTGTGTAAGATATGACAAAAGAAAATACAAGCAGCATATAGAGCAACAGAACTGGATATGAAAATGAAGCCAAACGGAGCCATAAAAAATAAACATCAATGACGTAGCTGGCCACAAATTTACTCCAGCCTTCCCACAGGCCAATGCAAAAAGAAAGACTCGATTAGTTTCATAGTTCAGTGTTCATAAGATACAAACTGACCAAACTGGGTCAGAGAAATACCTGTTTCTAATCAGGAATTTGTCTCAAGGGTTTTAAACAGAGGGCACTCGTGATGAAATAGATAAATCCACAGCAATATCTTTATACTAGAGGCAAAACGAGTTTCACCAGGCACTGAGAGATCAAAAAGATGTACTACTTGCCTTCAAAACCCGTATAACTTATCAGAGATGAGCTTAAAAATATATATATTATTTTTAATATACCCACGTTTACCTGGTGCATATATAAGTTTAGGGCATTATAGTAATCCATCCGGTTCCCCTTGAACTTCAGCTGGTCGTAAAGGACATAGTTCATGGCATCCAGCACCTGGCTCTGGAGTTCTATTTCCATTATCATGGAGGACTCACCTGAAACAGAGATCTACTCTGAGGACACAAGCACAGGTAAGGCTGTGACCAGTGTCCCCAACAACCCACAACATGTAGACACTGGCAGTGTTCCGACAATATTCATCATGTGTCACCAGTCCAGGGTGGGGAAGATAATATACATTTAAAGTCTTTTACATTATCCAGGTGAACATGTGGCTGTGTCATTAGTGGTTTTGGTGACATAATGGGAACACACTGCCGAGTGTCCTAATAGCCAACTACTCTAAGTTTCCTTTTGAAAACACGGCAGGATCCAAAAGCAATTCCACACCTGCCTTGAAGGCCAAGCTGGGGTGACGGCTGTTGATGCCCCGGAGGGTTTTGCACACGAGCTCCACGATGCTGTCGATCTGGGCGTGGATGTCTTTGAGGCTGATTTCCGAGAGAGGATTGCAGTATTGGTCGATATACACGGCACCTGAACAGGAACAAGAACTATGGAATCAATTCCTGGTTTTACCCTTTTCTTATTAGTTTTTCATTTACCCCAGGCGCCTGGGGCCACAGCTCTTTACAACATCCCACCAGCTAAGCTTCATGTCTTGGATGTCAGGCCTGGCTGTTAAGACACTGAAAAGGAGCAAGAAACATTCTCACAACAAAGGCTCTTACACGTCAGTGTTTTTTTAAATAAACCAAATCTCTCTCAGAGGTCATGGACTCAAAAAACCTGATGATATGTGGCATATTTCGATATTCTATTACAAAGAGAAGTAAAGGCTACAAAGGAGATCTTTTCAAGCTACTTCTTTCTCTCTCCCTCTCTAGTTCTTTTATAGTTTGAAACCCAACAACTCTGAAAACTTAATGTTATAAGACAGTTCTTCAACTTAAAAAAATAGTTGAAAGCCCTCAATGAAAGATGTGCTATTTCAACAACAAATTCTCTCTCTCAAAGGAGAGCCAATAAACGGCCTTTGGAGATAACTGTGTTTTATGTAGCCTTTGGAGATAACCGTGTGTTACATAAACAGTTACACTCAAGGACCCTGCAGCTAAAATGCTGACAAAGTACACTGGAGACATTGTCTCTTGAAAATCCCCTCTTCACTGCCTTAGGTAACTTTTTAACCAGAGACTGAAGGACTCACTTTATCATTTGGCTATAGGACATTTCACTTGGGAAGCTCAAACAGTCTCAAACCCACTCAGAATCTTGACCCCCTACCCACACCCCAAGGAGCTGAAAGCAGTTGAATGGGGGTCAAAAGACCTGGAACCCAGTCCCAGTTTTGCCACCAGCCAGGGATGGGCTCCTGGGCCTCCTGGGAAGGAATTCATGTGCCACTTCAAAGTCCGTTCCATCCTAAGGCTATATGATTCCCAGACTTTGTCAGTGGCATCAGATCACTTACATCAAGTCACCAAGGATCAAAACCCTGGAGCCTACTTCATTTACTGAACTACTTAACACACTAAGCAGGGGGCATTTAAATGTATAGACATAGATGCAAATCTGCCGTCACCGGTCCACAATGTGTTAAAAACCTGCAGTGGCTATCCAATACCTACAACACTGATTTGGATGGGTTACTTGACAATGATAATATTATTTTATATTTGAAAGATGAAAAAGTAGTTATCATTTTCATAAATAAGCTATGGAAAATAAAGCTTGTCCAATTATTCTTGACTGTGGAATAAACAAGGTAGGATGACTCTCAATTCCAGCATGCATATGAGAAGATTCCGGGATGGTGAGGATATTTTAATGAACTGCAACAGATTTTTCGTTTTGTTTAGGATGATGTAAGACGTTGGTACAAAGGACTCTGCACCAGGCATTGTGGAGTATACGGTGATCATACATAAGGACAAGAAACACAAGAAAATCAGTGTCTAGTGGGAGAAACGACTTGTACACACAATGTAATAGAAATGACGCAATACAGTTTAGCAGTCAATGCTACTAAGAGTTCTGAGGTGAGTAAAATCGGCAAGTGTTGCAGCAGCCAGAGAAACTCAACGCAAGTGAAACCTGACTGAACATGGGCAAGTAGGACTTAAGAGGAAATTCGAAGGAAAAGCGAGACCTTGAAGGAGGATGTGAAGCCAGATGTGTCTGCAGGGAGCCAGGGAAGACAACGACCTGGCTGGCACAAACGGGACATTTTGGAGGGTCATGGGCAAAGGCTTGGAGTTCAGGGGAAGGACTAAATTACGGACAGCACTGAAAAGCAGACAGAAATTTAATAAAAAACAGGCAATCAGCTGGCTACAAGGCATGGGGAAAAGGCTGGGTTTCATGCTGGACTGGCACTGGTACTTGGGTGAGTGGAGTTTAGGAGCGGGTGATGCTCAGGACAGCAAGTATTACTTAGAAAGCTGCTGCTGGGAGAGGCGTGAGAGCCTGCACCAGGATAGGAAGGGCACGGAGCCAGGACTGCGAGAAGCACTGGAAAGGAAAACATGAACCAGGTAAACCTCTGGGAGCAGGAAATGGATGTATTTCACAACCATAAGTTATGGGGATATCGGTGTGATATGCTAGGAATTTAAGATCGTTTTTCAAAAATCAAGTCACATTTTATTCTGGTTCAACTTAGTAGGAACACAAAGTGATCCCTTCATCACGTCTCTTCACTTGACTTCTTGCTCCTCACTTCTCATCAGGGACAGGCAGACTCACTGATGCGCAAGAGCATTTCGTCCTCATCAGAAACTCTCACCGGAGGTTAAGGGATTTGCTCAAGGTCACATGGAGACAAAACTGGACAAATGTATTTCTGATTTGGAAACGATGCTTCAAAGCTTAGAAAAACAGGGAATTCATCGCATTAGCGAAAATATCAGCCTCAAGCTTTGAACTGGTGGAGCATCTTTAGAAAACAGTCTCTTTAGCTGACAGCTAACGATTCTGACAGAATTTCAGCTCTGAATGGCCAGGCCCTATAATCCCACCTCCAGAAGACCACGCGGCACACTTTCCTTTCCCACTGCTTGATCATCAGGGAGCGTTTCCACGCCTGCTCTTAAGAACAACTTAGCTGCTTATCGAAACACCGTTATTTAAAGTCTCACCTTCAAGATACGATTCATAGTCATCAGAATGCTGAAGAAAAGCCTTGAGATTATTTAAAATTTTCTGCTGCCGTAGGTAGTAAAGAATTTTTTTTGCGTAGTACTTCCAAGTCAAAGCTTTTCTGGATAAAAAACAAAATGAAACAATTAAGTCAATAAAATTAAGATACTGAAACTTTCAGTGATCAATTTCTCACTTCACGCTAATCATACCACGTGAAGAGTCTCTACTTACCGAGACAAACATAACTGGTTTGCGATCACAGAGTGTTTATTATCATGGAAGCAGACACCACAATTTGGGACTTTGCATTTGTAATATAACAGTAAATTAGTCGTGCGGAAATTCAAGAAACAGTTATCTGTCTGGCTTCAGATTTACCAAAAGGGAAATCTGAAAAGTCAGGGGAACTGGGGGAGTCTCAGGAGAAAGGAGTGAGGTGTCTGGAATCCTCTGCTGGCCCCTCCATAGTTGGCTGAGGGAACTCAGTCCCTGGGCTGCAGCGTTTTTTCCTATGCTCACCGCCACCGTGATGTCATCCTGTCTCATGGTTTCAAATACTATTATCCACACCAACAACCCCCCATTTATTCTTCAGAACAGATTTCTCCTCTACATTCTAGACCTACATATCCAACTGCTAGGCCACATCGCCACTTGGGGATCCGGTGAGCACCTGGGTGCCCTTCCCCTCCTGGAGTCGTACTCATGTCAGACAAAGGTAACTCCATCATTCCAGTTAGACCCCAAAACGTAGAGTCATCTTTGACTCCTGGCTTTCGCTCATAAGCCGCCTTCAATCCATCCACCAATGTTCTAGCAGGAAACATGAACACCTCTCACTAACTCACCTAAGCCTCCATCGTCTTTTGTCTGTATCATAGCAACATCCTCCTCACTGAGTTTCCTGCTTCAAACCTTGCCCCTCACCATCTACGCTCAGTACAGCAGCCAGAGTGCTCCAGTTAAATCGTAGCACAGAAACTCTGCCGCAATTCTTCAATGTTCTCCACCTTGCTCAAAGTAAAAGCCCAAGTCCTAACGACGATGTAAAAGGTCCCTTAAACACTCGCCCTTTTTCCTCTCTGACCTCAATTCCTACTACTCCCACCCTCGGGCCAGCCACCGGACACACTGGCGTCCCTGCTGTTCTTTCATCATGCCTGGCTGGTGCGCACCTTAGGGCACGGCACTCTCCGTTCCTTCTGCCTGCAACACTCTTTCCCTGGAGATCTGCAATCTGTGTCCTTATCTCCTTCTAAGCTTATGATTCAAACGTCCCTTTGAGTCAGGCCTTTGCCCACCACCCTATTTAAAAGTGTACCCCCCACTCCCTCAGCTGTTCCCGATTAGGATTTCTCTATAGCATTTCTCATTTTCTAATGTAATAAATGTCTTACTTTATTTAGTGCCTGTCTTCCCCCATGGAGTGTAAGCTCCATGAACGTAGGGTTTTGTGTGTTCACTGTGGTCTCCCCAGTGCCTAGAATAGTGTCTGGCACAGAGGAGACTCTCAATACAGACTTGCTGAGTAAATGCAATTCTTCGCCAGATCCCCCAAATATGCACAGGAATTGCGGAAAGTGGGAGGGAGAGTGTTGCACGTATCTGCCTGACTTCATAAAGAAACAAAGACTCTCAAGCTTCAAGTAGCAAACGAAAATCAGCAGAGCCAGGTTTTCTCAGCTTTTTAACCTTCGAGTTGAACAATGTTATCAATTTATAAAACCACTTGAAACAAATGAGTAGCTTAATAAATTATTATAAAGCCAACAGCCTGGACCCCATCGCTCAGGCCAAGAAACAGAGTTCTGCAGACACCCCAGAAGCACTGCATGGGCGCCCTCCTCCCACCTATAATAATCAGTCTATACCTCATGGTCATCACTACCTGGCTTTTCTCTAGTTTTCACCAAATCTGCATCACTAAACACCTGTCTCTTTCAATGCTGTTTAAGTCTCTCAAGCTACAGGATTCACCTCCATCTTTTTCCCCCTGGCATTCTATTTGGTGAAGAAACCTGGTCACCTGACCCGTAGTTTCCTAGTGTCTGGAATTTGTGGATTGTATCATGTTTAACAGGTTCCTCTGTCTTCTGAATTTTCTGTAAAATGTATGCAGAGGCTTGATCAGATTCAGATGTCATTTATTTGGTGAGACCGCTTCATAGTTGGTAGTGGGTTCTTTAATCGGGAGGCAATCTTGCCTTGTTTCTTTTTGTGATGTCAGCAGTCACTGCTACTCAATGCCTGGGTCCATGAATTCATTAGAGATTACAAAGGAATGGTATTCTCATTCAACCAGCGCTTCTTCATTGATTAGCTAGAATACTTCTATAAAGAATAATTTTTCCTTATCTATTGCTCGGTCCTCCAATGGCATAATATATTAGAAAGGCAGGATAAATGCTCATTTCGTTCATTCATCATTTTTCAGAGTAAAATTTTGGGTTATTATCCTCCAAAGGTGGCCAAGTAGTTAAGTATTATTATGAACTCATGGAGCTAAGCGTATTTGATTATTTCCATCCATTCTGAACAGTTACTATCCACACTTACGCTCCCCTTGTCACATTTTGGGCCAGTAGAGGTCTCTTCATGTTGGCCCCTAACACTTCTGACATGAAGTGTTGTTACTTTTCTTGCTATCTGTTTCCAGGCTTCCAAGATGCTCCCAGCTCATCTTTCACATTTCCTATATTGGACTTAGAATCAGCCACTTTTCCAAAAACTTGGGCTTCTCTAATGGGAAATGGTATACCAAGACCACAATCTAGTGTTAGTGATGATCCTTCTATTAGGTTGGTGATTGTTTGACCTGTTCAGTGGGCAGACATAGTAAATATAGTGTATGTATGCTATTATATATATATATATATGTATATACACACACACACACACACACACACACACACACACACACACACACACACACACACACACACACACACACACACACACACACACACACATATATATTTTTTAAAGATTTTTATTGGGGAATTGGGGGAAGGGGAACAGACAAGTTGCTGTCCTTTTGTTCTTCAGTCTAGTTGTGGAGGACGTTGCTTCACTGGCCCAAGTTGGCACCATCACTGCGCTCTTCCCAGGCAAGGCACATCAGTCGCCGGCTTCTGGAGGGCAGCTCACTGCGGCTGCTGGCCGCTCACGCTGGCTGCTGGCTACATACAGTAGCCCATGGCAACCCACTGCAGCAGAGGCTGCAACATACGCCGTCGCCGATGACTCACGGCAGCCCAGCTCCAGGTTGAGCTGTTGTTCAGCATCTTAGCTGTGGAGGGCAGTGTCACTGGCCCTCATATGTGGGATCTGAACCTGGGCCCTCTGGCGTCCCAAGCCAGCAACTTAACCAACGTGCCAGTCGGACGGCGCTGCTATTATATTTTTTAAATAGCAGACATACACTATACTTATATTTAAATACATTAATAAATATAGTAAACATATTTAAGTGTATTTAAGTATAAGTATATTTAAATATATTTATATTTATACATATATTTAAATATATGACAGCTCACGAGTTGATACTGAAATTTCTAATTCAAATTCAGAACTTAACAGTTTTTACTTTCTTCTATCTTCTATCTGTATCTTTTTTTCTTCCAGAAGAACCCCGCTTCTCCAGTTATATAATTCCAGTTGACCCTTGAACAAGGGGATTAAGGGTACCCACCCCGTCAGCAGTCAAAAATCCGCATATAACTAGTTGGCCCTCCACATACGCGGATTCCCAAATGCCTGTTGACCCTTGGACCACACAGGTTTGAACTGCAAAGGTCAAATAAAAACAATCGGCCTATCAAGTGGACCTGCACAGTTCAAACCCAAGTTGTTCAAGGGTCAACTGTACTCATTTGCTTTATTCCACCCACCCCCTCTCTCCAAAACACACCAGCCTCAGAATAACAAGACCAATATTCTCACCACCTTGATGACTACTGAAAAGTTAAATATTCTCTGCTCGTTTTTTTTTTTAAACAACTGTATTACATCTACATTGTCAGGGCTTATAGCTACTACCTACAATACTTTCTACCCTACTAACTGTCATTTGCTTTTGATTCTACAAGTAAACACATATTTAATGCTCACCACTAGTTCTTATGTTTTATGTCTATTTGGTTGTTTAAAGCTCATATTCTAGCGCATTTCTCAGGATGGGCTCAAAAGTCCCAAGTTCTTGCAAGCGGGAAAGTCTGTCTGCAGCCTTTGTACTTGGTAGTCAGTTTGGCTGGATATAAAAATCCTTGGCTGACATTTTTGATCCTTGAGTATCCTAAATATGTTACTCTTTTTTCCTTTGGCACAGAGCACTGCTGTTGAAAAGTCTGATGATATTCTATTGTCTTTCCCTTATAAGTGACTTTTTTTTTTTTTGGTTGGGTGCCCAAGGAACTTTTCTGTCTTTAAAATCCAGTAGTTTAACCAAAATATGTCTCAGCGTTGGTCATTCTGGGCCAATTTTATAAGGTACTATGTACCCTTTTAATATGTTGTTTCAAATCTTTATTGCAGAATGTACTCTCTTTGAAGGCTACATAGAGAACACCATAAATGCACATTGTTTTCTATAAATATCCAGGGACTGGGGCTTTACAGAAACTACCTTTCTTACTTCCTAAGCTTTCCATATCCAAACAACAAGCATTTGCCAGGAATGAAGACAAATAGGGTCCTTCATGAAAACTGGCATCCAAAATATTTTCAAATGTGAGAATATCCTTTGTTATTTAAAAATGACCCTGGGCCGGCCGAGTGGCGCGATGGTTAAGAGCTGGCTTGGGATGCCAGAGGGCCCCGGTTCGGATCCCACGTGTGAGGGCCAGTGACACTGCCCTCTACAGCTAAGATGCTGAACAACAGCTCAACCTGGAGCTGGGCTGTCGTGAGTCACCTGCGACGGCGTAGGCTGCAGCCCCTGTGGCAATGGGTTGCCATGGGCTACCGTGTGTAGCCAGCAGCCAGCGTGAGCGGCCAGCAGCTGCAGTGAGCGGCCGTCCAGAAGCCGGCGACTGATCTGCCTCGCCTGGGAGGAGCGCAATGATGGTGCCAACTTGGGCCAGTGAAGCGACGTCCTCCACAACTAGACTGAGGAGCAAAAGGACAGCAACTTGTCTGTTCCCCTTCCCCCAGTTCCCCAGCGCTGTTCCCATCCCCGCAATTCCCCAATAAAAATCTTTAAAAAAAATAATTTAAAAAAAACAAAAAACAATAAACTCAGTATGTATATTACATTTATGTATTTTAAAATATGTGTACATATATATATATATAAAAAAGACAGGTCAGCTTTTATTTTTAAGGCTGCACAATACTGTTAGATCATACTCTAATTCATTTATAGATAAACCAAAATAGAAACAGAAAAATGACCTCTGCATCTGAAATCATCCAAGGCCTAGAACAGTGACACATCTTACCTCTCCCTTGCAGTTGTTCCACTGATAGGTAAGTGTCACTCCTAAACTGCCTAAAAAACATGAAAAATACCTCATGCCTTGTTTGTCAGCTATCTCCCAATGACTTCCCTTAAGGAAGATCCTAAACTAACATTCTTATCTTCCATCACTAGTCAAGTTTCCAGAACTTTCAAAGCAGATCTTTCTCATTGGTATGTTAGGCTGGAAGCAAGTCATCTTTTAGGCAAACTAGAAATTAACCCTCACAAGCAGATAATGAGTCATAAAAATTTTTAAACAACCAAGAGATAATGGATTCTTCTTGATCAGGAGAGATTAAAAAATGGCTCAACCAAATACCTATAATGTTCATGGCCAAAGTAAGATTATTTCATCCCCAAATTCAGAAATTGTAGAAAATCATCCATTAAATTAAGACATGCCTAAGAAATTAATTTTTAAAACAGTTAATGCATGACAGGCAAATTTGGTGATGGTAGGCGGAGAGGTGATAATAAAGGAAGGATAATTTATATTATTTAAATGACATAACAGACACAAGGGCCCAAAGCACAGTATTTGACCCACAGTAGGACTAAATACTCATTCTCTTTTTTTTCCAGAATAATTTTTGCATGTTTTCTTTAAATATCATTTGTCTCAGTATACAGAATTTTTATAAAATGTAACTGTAGCAACACATGAAATATTTGGAAACACATGTCCCATGGTTCAGCCACATACAAATGACAGTGATTAATTCTGGGCTTATTAAAACAAATGAACAAACAAACCAAAAAAAATCCCTGCTATGGCTTACCTTCCTTCCATGTTTAGGATACACACCAGTTCATCCTCAAAAAATATCTCGGGTCCCTCAAGATTCTCAATGTCACTAAAACCATTACAAGGGACCTATGAAGAAGACATATACAAAGAGGCCTCAGTAACGAGTGATAATGTCGTTGTCACTCTCATATACAAATGTGAGTTGTAAAGAAAGATGGTCATTTTCATGGAAGTGGTTAACAGCTATCCTATATTATCTTACACCACCTACCATGGGTGGAAGGTAACATGCAAAGTAACAATTTGTTTAGATCTTGTTGTTAGTTGTAAATTAATTATACTTTCATCGGCTGAAATTTCTGAAACTGGTAACTCAAGAATTCTAATGTGAAGAAAAACAGCTCTGACACAAGAACTAAAGATACAAAATTTCCAAATTCCCAATAACTATTTCATGCAGGCTATGTTTACTCAAGGAGAGAATGGCTAGCGAGAGAGAAGTCTTCTAGTGCTTTGGGCAACTCAGCCCACTGGGCATGTTTTCTTCTCTATAAATTGAGGTGGCGGTACCAATGAGCTTTAAGATCCCCTCAGTTTAACTCTCCATCGGGCGCAACTGATCTCACAGAGTCACTGCACATGAAGATGCCACTATGAAATACGACTTTACTGTACTAAGTCACAAACACGACTGGCGACAGGTTACAGTAGAGGGGGAAGATACGGAAGTGATGAGTCACGAAACTTAACTGTTAGATATTTGAAAATTTGTGTGCAAAGAATCTGTGAGATCAGTTGCACCCGACGGAGGATTAAAATTCTATTACTTCTCCCACTTTTCTTTTTGAAGGTAGCCAGGGAATTTCATATTAACCTATGTGCATGCATGCAGAGAACACAGGAATACAGGGGTCCTGAGCCAAAGTAATCACCCACCCACAGATCAATCTTAAGTGTACTCCTGCTTTGTTCAAAGTACTTGACATACTTCTAATTAAGCAGTGGTACCAGGAAAGAGGGAGCTAAGGAAAAAAAACATAACAATTCATCATTATTAGACAAAGGCACAGGCTGTTAAAAATGCATACAAAACCAGCTGGACTAGAAGTAGAGGCTGCAAACTAGTAGCCCATGACCAAGTCTATCAAACACATCAGCACCCAAATATATGTGTGTGCAAACACGTTTAAACCAGTTATTTAACATCTGTGATTATGCATGCTTTGAGCCAGGGCATGGCTTTCTCAAGAAAAACATAAACTTTTTCCATTCTAATATTAACAAACATTTATTTATAGAGATGGATTGCACTAAGGAATATCTAGTTTTATTCTCCACAGAAGAATACATTCAAATTTATCCAAAGTTCAAAATTTGAACTTTCCCTTTCAAAGCTTGAAAAGCTTTGAAAATATTTCAAATGTATGCACTCCATTAAGTAAGAGTAGTTAAAATCAGAAAATAGGAGTTAATCTTCAGTAAACCAGGAGGGTAAAATAAGTCAGACTGGCTGTATTTCTAACCCCCCTCCCTCGCAAATCAAAAATAAATTTAAAATATCAGTGTGGACTATTTTCCAGAGTTACAAAAAAGTTAAGAATCAGGACCTGATACAGACTCTTCTGTGACTGCTTTGTGTAAGAAAAAACAAAACCATGCAGTGCAGCAATATTTAAAAAAACAACAACTTTTCAGGGGTAATGAAAGCAAGACAATTTAATCAAGGGAGCAATAATTCTGATTTACAGATCGCTTTTAATCCTGTTAGCTTAACAAATAATTCAGTTCACAACTGGTTAGAACCTGCAAAGCCAGAGAGAGGAGAGAACCCTCTTAATTTCATCAAGCCTTCTGGGAAAACAACTGGGTGAGATTTGTAGTGTTCAATCATCAAGGATCCCCTAAATCAAGCGGAGGCTGCAAAAAAAAATAAATAAAAGGCCAGCCCCCTTGCAGAGAAATAACGCTGAAGAGAAATAATCCCTCTACATTGTGTTCCAGATCCCTCCCTCCTTTTTCCACCCCCATTCTCTCTCTGGCTTTAGAAAAAGTAAAGCTGGCAGGGACAAACGGCTTCATGTTGTTGGATGGGAGGAAAAGGACACAATGACTCTTGCAGCCATCTAAGTGAGTAAGGGATTGTGAGAGCCACGGAAAAGGGAGATATCAAAAAAAGCTGGATGAGCTAATGCCTCCAGACACAGACACACACACACACACACACACACACACACAGACACACACACACACACACACACCACGACCAGGCGAAAGCTTAAGAGCTACATGGACAGATCCTTACATGCTCTGAAAAGAACCTCTTGGAGAACGAGGCTACAATCTTCCGGGCTTCTAACCCAGCTTTTTGCCGAACTTTATACTCCTCCAGCCAATTGACGTAGTCGGTGGGGCTGTAGTGTTTCATAAGGGAAGGCCACCTAGAAGGAGGAAAAAACACCCCCTCAGCGTAACACAGATTCAAAGGCAGGCAGGCAGGCAGGCAGACACGACTCAAAGGCAGCTTTGGAAAACAGGGAAAGCAGTATGGTTTTGTGGTCAAGGGGCCCCTGGTGATGGACCTAGTTCAAATCTCCACCCAGTACCCACTCGCGCTCAAGGTGTGACCTTGGCAGAGCAATATGAACGCTGTGTCTCCACTCCCCATCTACAAAATGGGGACAACTGTAGCAAGAAGAATAGGGATGACAATGACAGTTAACGTTGACTGCGCGCCTCCTAAGAGCTGGGTCCTCTGGAAAAGGCTCCCTACACATCTCATTTAATAATAAGCACAGTCAAAGGTAGGTCCAATGCTCAGCAAAGTCGGTGAAGGAGGCTCCAAAAAGGGAAGCCTAGCCCCCCCCCCTCCCCCAAGGTCATACGGCGAGCATGCCAGGGCCAGGTTTTTATCCCCGGGTCCACCCCGAAATCTGTGCTCTGGGCCGACATCCAGGGGATGCTGCGCCCGCTTTCCTCTACGGGCTGTTAGGATCGCTGCATCGCCAGGTCCATGTAAACACTCGAGCACCGTGTCGGGCACAAAAGGAAGCGCGCAGCACGGATGAGCTGGGATCCTACCGTCGTCATCCGTTACGGAGGGCCCGGCGGCCGGGCGCGTTCGCGATGCGCAATTTGGGCACCGGAGGGTCCGCGCGGCATGGACCCGAGGGGCCGGCGGCCTGGAGGCCTTTGTCTGTCGGTCCACGGGAAGGGGTCCGGGGGTGGCATCCGGGGTGGGGTCCGCGCGCGCGCGGGG